TGTACCATTGCTTTGTGAAACGTCAAGTTATGACAGTGACAGCTGTCATCACTTGGGAGTGGTCTATGCTAAGGGTAGTATTTAAGGGGGTAACGCTTCATTGGAAGGGGCATTCGGCATTCGGCATTCAGCATTCAGACGTGAGCCGCGATAGTGAACGGACGTTAGCACAGAACTCGCCACGCTTTACAAAGCAATCCGTTTGTACCTTGGCAATCATAACTGATTTTGTAAAGTAATAAGAAGATTCAAATTAAACGTTAGCTTGGTCACTAGACTACAGTTTTATTTTCGGGAAATATCATTGAATAACCAAGATATAATAATATTACCGCTCGCCCATCCGACATACTAATTAATACATGAACATTATTTGATGTACAGTATCCCCGGACCACGGAAATACACGTGGTATATTACTACACCTCCCCCTCCCCGTTGTGATATTTCGTGATCTTTTATGGACAATAGGGTATTTGACAAGTTTTAGAAAACGATCTCACGTTATTGACTAATGTTTATGGAGTCTGATAAAAGTGAACATTCATCATTCTGTTGTGTATTTCCCAAGTTTAATTTTTTGCATAGGATTTTTTCTTGTTTCCTTATTTGAATGGAGAAAAACTATGCGTCATATACTTTTTGATACTTATAATATACCTAAACACGAAAAAAAATTGCCATCATACTTATTACCTTAGTTCATCATCATCATCATCTCTTATCTAATAGACAAGTCCGTCCGTCCGTGGTGCTGTTCAGCGGCCAAACCGTAAGAGATAGATAAAGAGAATGTTTAAGTTATAAGTTAAGAATAGTCTGATAAGACTACAAACCGGATTTGAGTAACGTAGCACTTCCGGTTTTCGAGAAATCACCTGATTTCTATTTCAAACGAAACCACACAAAATCTCCGAAGTTCTCAATTAATTAAATACTTTTTTTTTTGGTGAACATTTGGTTCACTGGTTTGTTAGTAATCTTTATTGCTTCATGTTGGTACATACATGGGTTCTTAAATTTAAGATAAAGATTCACAACATTAGCCCTGCAAGGGCACCCTTCCCCGTTATTTTATTTTATTTGTAAAGGTACATTAAACAGCCAAAGGCCAGCAAAAATGTACACAGCTGGATAACATAAGTAAACCTTATTTACCAAAAAGAAAACATATAAAGAAAAAAAAACATTGATGAAATAGTCTTCAATCTTAGGTAATGAAACAAAGCGGGCGAAAGGAATGAAAACTTGATATTACCCGAGAAAAATCACTAATTGGGTACGAGTCTAAAAAACATTCATGTATCTGCAATCAATGAAATGAATAAAAACATGCATAAAATAAACAATAAATATGTATATGTATATATATTTAAAAATAACAAGGGTATTTGTTATATATTTATTTATAGTCCGAAATCATTAAATTTATCTGCAAGTCAGTATTATCGTTTTTTTGTATAGATAGATCCGACAAATGACTCCACCCCACCAGATGTTAAGTGACGGTGAAGTCCAGGCGCGAAGATAGCTGGTACAGCAGTTCTACCTGCCACACCAGCCATCCTCACCCTGCCGGCCTGCATGTTGCTTCTTCACAACTCAAAATTATATGATATCTTTTTTTTATTCAGTCTAGGCTGTTACAAGCACTTGTGAATGTCGAAAAGCTACGCCATCGGTTCGCAAATCTACGGCGGGAGACCTTGTACTGAGAGGAACCGACAAGAAACTCAGCAAGGGCTGTTTTTTTCTCCCTATATTGTATACAGAGTCGTCAAATTGAAAAATTACTCCAATATGAGGTAACTCATAAAGTCACTTCCATTACAAATGCAAATACTATAAAAAATATGACTATATAATAAAAAAAAATATAAAAAACTGGTTTAACAAAGTTTAGGAATGCCGTGTCCTACTGTTTAGGCAAAACAAAATAATGAACGATTAAAGTTTAGTATAATGCGATTCAACTAAGAATAGGGCCGACTGGGCGCCATGTTGTGACGTCATAGCTGTCAATTCAAACCAAATAGGTAGAGTGAGCAAAAAAAAGTTTTTATTTACTAAGATTAGGCGAGAAAAAACATCAGATTTTTTAATAAAATTATTTATTAAGTTAGAGAAAAAAAAACAACAAATTTTTTATTAATATTTATATATTAAGACTGCGTGAGAAAAAAGGAAAAACATAATCTAGCTCTTCAATTCCGCTCATTTCTGCATTACCGACGGAGTAGTTATGAATAATCATGTATTAGCGAGGTCACATACGAACATGCATCGTTTATGTAAATGAAAGATTTAAATCGACTTTATAAACACAACTTAAAGTGACATTTGGTTGACGATTTAGGTTATCAAACAGTCATAGAGTCATAGCCAAAGCTCAAAAAATGAAAAAAATATTAATATTTGTTATTGTTATATTTGTTTCTTAGGTTTTCACGCACATCACTCATTAAATAAAACTAGTTTTTACGGGTTAATGCACGAAACTTTATTTATTTATTGACGTTTCGCAGCCTTTTCAGGTCTGCATCGTCAAAATAATGATTTTTTATTTAAAATTGTCGAGCTACCTTCGAAAGACTTATATTGAGCGTTCGGTTATTTCATTGGAAGATTTTTAAAATTTTATTGTCTATGTATGAATTTATTTATTTAATTTACTTAATAAAGTATTTTATTTAAAATTCTTGTTTGTAATTTTGAGTTTATTTATTTGACCCTAACTACCGTATATTTATTTGTTATTGTTTGTTTACAAATGTTTGGTTTTTATTCTAGAATTAGCCGAGTGCTAATAAAGGGTTCCAAGATTTTTTTGCAAACCGTACTTTTCAAGCGACATTTGACAGATGGAGGTCATTGGCTTTCCTATTCTTATTTGAATCGCATTATACAACGATTAATAAGTACCCAATGAAGCAAGAGCAGATTCATCTCCGCTGGCAACTATCTATAATTATATAGTTTAAGTAGGTAACCAAATAATTAATTAGCAAAAATTAAAACTCGTAAAATTATATAAGTAAACAGGTACCTATTTTACTACGTTTAACAAATAATATGATAGTAAATGTAAGTACTAATGAATACCAAAAAATCGTTGAGTGCATAGCAAAAAAAAATACTTCATTTTGAATACTATAAACTACACATTCTGTGATTCTGTTCTAAAGAGCCCGATAGCGCAGGTGGTCAGCGCGTTCGGCTGCGATCGTTGAAGTTAAGCAACTTTCGCAGTGGTCGGTCATTGGATGGGTGACCAAAAATCTTCCATCTCTCATTCCTCCGTGCTTCGGAAGGCACGTTAAGCCGTTGGTCCCGGCTGCATCTGCAGTCGTTAGCACCCGCCAATCCGCACTGGGCCCGCGTGGGTCATGGCCCAATCTCCCTATTCCATCCCTAGGGAAGGCCTGTGCCCCAGCAGTGGGGACATTAATAGACTGATGATGATGACACATTCTGTTAAATTTTAATTGCGTTAGAACTAATTCCACTTTTGGTACAGAAAGTTGTTTTAGTACTAATAAGAACGAAAAACTTTATCTTTTTATACAATAATTGCCTACGTAATGCTTTAATGGTAGATATACATGATGACTAATAGCCGATAAAAGACGATTTATTAATATGTTATAGTCCAGTTAGTTTAGTAAGTATAAATAAAAATACATGAATCTCGTAATAAATTCATTTTTCAACTTGACGACTCTGTATATAATAAAACAGGGAGAAAAAAGCAGCCCTTGCTGAGTTTCTTTTTTACGATTTACGAACCGATGGCGTAGCTTCTAGACATTCAAGAGTGCTTATAACAGCCTAAACAGAATAAATGATTTTTGATTTTGATATACGTATTAAGAGCCCTTTTACAAAATTGCGCCGCTGCCGTACTGATCGGCGCGTAGGTAGATTTCACAGTCATATAAAATAATTATTAATGAACTAATTATGAAAATATATACATATTTCAATAGTTCAATGATGATAGATTAGTTTTATTAAAGTTTTTTATAGTAATTCTATTTAATTCAATAAAAAAATACGAGGTACACCTGCATTATTTTTTGGGAAAGCTCACGGAAGTTAGATGTTTTTTTTTGACAATTAATAAGATGAAAAATCAAAATTCTAATACATTATGTTTCAACAAAAACATATTTCTGATGTCGTTGTAATTAATGTGATCTAATTTATTGAACATTATTGAGAGATTGAGGCGTTTGAAGTTGTGCATATTATCGTTTTTTCCTTAAACTAGCTGCAGTAGAACGATCAGTACAAAAAAATGAAAATGGAATTTGCAAATATTCTACATTAACTTTCAATAGGAAGAATAAATCTACTGTTTACTTCTATTGGAAATAGTCAAAATCTTTTCTAAGGGGGTAAACGAGGCGGTCAAAAATAACGATTTTTTGCAAAAAATGTGAAAGGGCTCTTATTATATTCGACTATAAGTTTGTTTAATACAATTTTAATGTACTACTAAAACTAACTTACCTAAACACAGACCCAGTCAAATTATTCAATACAAAGTTATCTAATATGAATACAATTATTTTTCCTCCTCAGGGTAACATGGCTCCAAGGTTGAATAAATTATCTGGGCATTTTAACCAAAACTAGTAAGACCAACCTCTCTTCATTTCAAAATAGGGTAACCTTATTTTTCTTACTCAGATTGAAGCACTTAGTCTAAACTCTCTTGCAAACTTCACAGACTTCTCGAACGACCTAAATTAAGAGCTACTTTACGTTCAACAACTTTGCGAGCACACATAAAAGAAAGAAACGCAATTGGGTAAACCTAAATTCTCTTTTTACAAAATTAGGGTAACTAATTACCCTCACTTAAAATTAGGGTAACTACTTACCCTCACTTAAAATTAGGGTAAATATGGTTGTGTAGTTTAAATAAAAGGTATGACACGCACTGCTACTAGAAAATCGTATGACACGTCATATGAAGAGAATAGGGTAACCCTTACCTCTCCGTGTTGGTTCCGGCCGTCAGGAGTGTTCTCGGGGAGGAAGTATAGCCTCAGACTGACCAGGGTCTGGTCTGAGGCGCGGTCCGTCCACAGCAGCTGCAGTTCACCTGATGAAGAGAACGACACATACTTGGCATTGGCACCAGTGACTAGTGTTTCCACAATGAGGGGAAATTAGGGTCCAGAGGGGAAAGAAGAAGAAAGGGAAACTGCGGGAAATTATGGGTAAAGCTTAGCCTAAAATAATGCGGCACGGAACAAAATTTTTATGGACTATACCGTGGACTAGAGTATTGCCGTATAAAAGAAACTGTGTCAACACGTGCAGATTTTATATATTTTATTTATCTGTTACAGAATAAGATAGATTAAGACCTTTTTTTCTTTAGTTACTACACTAGTGCCAAATCTAAAAACTACAGCAGAATAATTTTTGAGGGGGAAAAATGTCCTAAGAAAGGGAAATCTGAATTCAGGCGTGGGGAAAGGAAATCATTAAAGTGGAAACACTGTCAGTGACGGACAGGAGCCAATTATCGGTATTTTTTTACTGCTTTTACGTAGTTGTCAAAACAGTAGGGCGACCGCTGCGGGGTCGATCAGCTAAATTACCCCATGCCGTGGTACCTCTGCAACGTGGTTACTATATAGAATTGGGATATGGCAACTCTGCGTGCTATTTCCCTCGTAGAATAGCCTTCTTCCGTCAAAGTTACAATTCTGGCTCGTAAAACTTCTGATAATCCTCGTGGCATTTTTAAAATCTCAACTTTCTAGTAGGAGATCCGAACCCACATCGACCTTCACCGAGTAAAATGAAACATATTTTATCATGACTTTAGTATATTGCAAAATATATTAAAATTGAGTTGCCAAAAAAAAACCTGGACAGACTATTTATAATTATTTTTTAAAAAATGATTAAAAAAAATATATTGCAACATTAAGATAATAAGAAAATGCTGTCCTGCCTTAAATTATAAAACGTATAGAATGTACAGCCGCTGGGTAAAGTAACTGGTATCGACATATCTGTTTAAACCTGGCAACCCACTGTAAATATTAGACATCCCAATGGCTGCACATTTTATTTTATATTGATTTTAGGACATCATTTTCTTATTATCTTGATGTTGCAGCATTTTATTAAAAATACAGTTTTTTTAAATTAGTTAAAAATGATCTGTCCAGGACTTTTTTAGGCAACCCATTTTTAATATATTTTCTAATATACTAAATTCATGATAAAATATTTTTCATTCCATTATCAGCTCGGTGAAGGTCGATGTAGGTTCGGATCTTAGACCATTCCGTGAAAAAATATTTTAAATTCCATAATATTGACTAAGTCAGACTTCTGAATGAGTGTCAGCTTGGATTGCATGTCTTTTTATATGGAAAAACAATTGAATTATTTATTTAATATTTAGAATCTTATCAGAAAAAGAAAAGTTTTCTGTAACATGAAAACAATCTATTTTTCAAAGTGATCGCAAACTTTTTTTTATGTGTGTAACTATATAGGTCGTATATTACCAAAGAGCTAAATTTCTGGTTACTTTGCTTTCGGTGTAACAATGTTTAGTGATAAGTTGCCTACTTTTATTTTCATTGTTCGCGGAAGAGACTGTCGACTATTGGTTCTTGCCGGTCTTTGGTGCCACTTAGTAACAGGTTTCTTCAAAGTAGATGTTAAGAAGTGAGGACAAGGAGACAAACTATTAGCCAAGATGATTGCTAAGTATCTGGATGACTCTGTTATAAATACACATAAGTTATCACATGTAAAATAATCATAATTGATTTTTATTCCTTGGCGTGAGACAAAGCTTTAAGTCAAAACTAGAAACTTGAGCTGTTGCTAGCAGTAAAATAAAACCTGAGGACAGGAACACTTAAATTTCAATTCGTATGTTTAACGCTCGCCTGAAAGTAAGCGTCTTTCATAACTTATATGAGGTTTACAACAACAGACAGAAGCATCGCAAGTACTTCAAAAATGTCTTAACACCACCCATAGTCAGTCATGCACATTAAATATATATATTTATATATATGTATGTAATGGGCGTCGCCAGCAGATGGTCTAGGGGGGAGGCAAGTTCATATTCGTAAATGGACGGAGTGCTGAAATCACCTAGTGACACCATTGAGTTTCGACATGGTGAAAGCAGAAATGTTTGGTCTGGCAAGCAAGACCAATGATTGGACTACGGACTTTAGCAGCTTTACAATTGGCTACATTTATTCTATATAAGGGAGGGGGATACAGCTGCCCCTATCTGCCCCCCTTGGCAACACCCTTGTGTAAATATCTTTTGATTCAGAGCCACATAGATAAATAGGCAACTTACCCACGGACACCAACTCGGAGTCCTGCCATATCCTGACGAAAAAGAAGTCGCCAATAGCGACTATCTTCTCCTTTTCGCCTATCGTTAGTCTGATGGCCTTGTAGAATGTGTACTGGCCGTGTTGGCCGCACGGAGCGCCAACCAACTGTAACAAAACCAGAAACATATAAATCAGAAACTCATTACCTTGGGCGGTTAAAAGAAAGTGGCAGTTTAATTAGGAAAATAATATGATTATACATATGGCAATGAAGAATGTTTGGGCAAAGCCAATTTTCCTCTTGAGTTTTATCAATCAATCAATCAATACTTTATCGCGTTCTACGATGTTTTCTTAGATCTTAGTAGGTACATTGCTTTGATCATTGTAGACCCTGAACAGGGCACAGCAAATAGAGAAGAGGACGCATTCACTAATTGTAATTTAGTTAGTACGTATACAATTTACCAGAAATATACGATAATTTTTTACCCAACAAATAAAAATATATTAATGTCAACATTATTTAATCATTTTAGCACAATATTATATTATTTGATTTATTATTTATGTCATATTCTATAGTATATCATGTTATATTATATTCAATTTTATTATATACAAATTAAATTAAATTAAATTAAATGAAATAAAATGTCAGGTATAGTAAAAATTTTAATTGTAAAAATCATTACTTTAAATTATTATCTTCCAAAAACTTTAAGGAAATAATCTCCACTTACAGAACTGCCTCTTGGTGGTGTTTATAAGTGGTGTTTCCGTTGGTAACTACGGTTTCAGGGTTCGGAGTTAGGGCAGGAAAAGCGATAGGGGTTACCCTATTTTTTTGTAAAGGTAATTTTGTAAGGGTTACCCTTACAAAAAAAATAGGGTAACCCCTAATTATAGGCAACATTACCCGCGCCAAAACTAGGGTAACTTATTCAATGGTGACTAATATTTTACCCTCATTGATTTGAATTGTGTATGTTATATCGAGCTTGCACTTGACAAGTGTATTAAATATTAGTGTTTTTATAATTTCTAATGCAATTTCACATTGTTTTTGCCATTGAGCTTCGTGGTTTGCACTATTCATATTTACAGGACGGCGAAGGCACTATATTTATTCTCATCAGACGAAGCCTGGAAGGCCTTTATGATGATAGGCATCCGACGGTTGTGTTTTAGTCAGTATAATGCGATTCAACTAAGAATAGGACCGACTGGGCGCCATATTCTGATGTCGTAGCTGTCAATTCAAACCAAATAGGTAGAGTGAGCAAAAAAAAATTTTTATTTAATAAAACTTATTTACTAAGATTAAGTGAGAAAAAGCATCAGATTTTTTTAATAACATTTAATTACTCATATTGAGAGAGAAAAGCCACCACTGAACTGTGAGAAAAAACGTTAATCGGAATCTAGCTCTTCTATTCCGCTCATCTCTGCATTACCGCCGGAGTAGTTATGAATAATCATGCACTATTACTAAGTCACATACGAACATGCATCCTTTGTGTAAACGAAAGTTTGAAATATAGTTTCTGAACGCAAGTTAAAGTGACATTTGTTTGACGATTTAGGTTATCAACCATTCATGGCCAAAGCTCAATAAGTGAAAAAAAAAATATTAACCGATTTTAATTATCAATATTTGTTATTGTTTGTTTACAAATGGTTGGTTTTTATTCTTGAATTAGCGGAGTGCTAAAAAAAGGTTTCCACGTTTTTTTTTTTGCAAACCGTACTTTTCAAGCGACATTTGACAGATAGAGGTCATTGGCTTTCCTATTCTTATTTGAATCGCATTATAAGAGTGACATAGAACCCTGCAGCCGGCTGTAGGGTATCCATGAGGATTTCTATGCCGCTCCCCCGTTTGCTCATCAATCAGAAACCTCTTCCTCAAAAAGTTATGTTTGGTCTGCAATCATGGGAGTTGAGAGGGGAGGCGGTCTCTTATTACCATACAAACGTTCACGACTGACCTCCTTGATTTTTATCACTAAAGAAATGATTTTCATACACAAAATCTATATTATATAAAACTCAAATGTGACTGACTGACATAGTGATCTATCAACGCACAACTCAAACCACTGGACGGATCGGGCTGAAATTTGGCATGCAGGTAGATGTTATGACGTAGGCATCCGCTAAGAAAGGATTTTGATCAATTCTACCCCCAAGGGGATAAAATAGGGAATGAAAGTTTGTATGAAACTTTGTCAATTTTAAATCGATCGGGCTGAGACTTTGCATGCAGGTATAAGAAGAATTATAGATGAATGTCATTGTGTATAATAGAAGCCTGAGAACAAAAACTGTAGTCTACACTTCAGCTCTACACCGAAGCGAAGCGAGGGCGGGCCGCTAGTAAAATATAATGTTACTTATTCTATGCGCCCATGTCTTCCTTTTTTTCGATAACTTGTGTTTTAAATTGATTAGAAGCCCATTAAAAATGTCAATAATAAACAAATTTTTATCACCACTAAAGAGGTCTAGTGTGAAGATTCAATAAGCATTTAGAGAAAAGAAAATCATAAATCTAAAGAAAGTTTACTAGAAAAAAATCCACGCGGACCAGGCAGCGGACGGGACTCGAACCCGCACCCTTCGCTATCCGGGCGAATGCACTGACCATTATGCTACCACGGCCCTTTTCGCCGCGTCGAAATTTTCCTAGCCTTAAGCTGCAAGGCAGCGCCATCTCTTCGCATTGTAGGTAATCCACAATTTTTTTCTAGTAAACTTTCTTTAGATTTAAACATCTAGCAGTTAAATGCTTAAAAATAAAAAAACATAAATATAATTGCTATTTCTTCTTTCAAATGTTTAATACTTGAAAAAGTATTCATTTGACATTGTGGATTACCTACAATGCGAAGAGATGGCGCTGCCTTGCAGCTTAAGGCTAGGAAAATTTCGACGCGGCGAAAAGGGCCGTGGTAGCATAATGGTCAGTGCATTCGCCCGGATAGCGAAGGGTGCGGGTTCGAGTCCCGTCCGCTGCCTGGTCCGCGTGGATTTTTTTCTAGTAAACTTTCTTTAGATTTAAACATCTAGCAGTTAAATGCTTAAAAATAAAAAAAACAGAAAAATCATAAAGTTGAGGAACTCGATGGCGCAAGTGGTTAGCGCGTTCGGCTGCGATCGTTGAAGTTAAGCCACTTTCGCAGTGGTCGGTCATTGGATGGGTGACCAAAAATTTACTATCTCGAGCTCCTCCGGGCTTCGGAAGGCACGTTAAGCCGCTGGTCTTGGCTGCATCTGCAGTCGTTAGCACTCACCAATCCGCACTGGGCCCGCGCGGTGGGTCATGGCCCAATCTCCCTATTCCATCCATAGGGAAGGCCTTTGCCCCAGCAGTGGGGACATTAATAGGCTGACGATGATGATGATGAAATCATAGAGGCCTAGTATAAATACTTATTATTCTATTGGTAAAATTCTTTTACATGTATCTTATATTCGAAGATTTCCTTCGAGAACCAAATCTTGAATTTTGCAATTTTTAGACGCAACTTTCAGCGTTGACTGCTGTTGTCCCTATCGCACGGTATTGCCAATGAGCGAGAGCAATAGCTTCTAACTTAAAATACCTATAATGCAATTCAAATAAGAATAGGAAAGCCAATGTCCTCCATCTGTCAAATGTCGCTTGAAAAGTACGGTTTGCAAAAAATCTCGAACACTTTTTTAGCATTCAGCTAATTCTAGAATAAAAACCAAACATTTTTAAACAAACAATAACAAATATTGATAATTGATATTAGTTGTTTTTTTTATTCATTTGTTGAGCTTTGGCTATGAATGGTTGATAACCTAAATCGTCAACCAAATGTCACTTAATGGTGAGTTCAAAAACTCGATTTAAAACTTTCGTTTACATAAAGGGTGCATGTTCGTATGTGACCTGCATGATTATTCATAACTTCTCCGGCGGTAATGCAGAGATGAGCGAAATTGAAGAGCTAGATTCTGATTAATGTTTTTTTTCACACAAACTTAATAAAGAAATACCATTAAAAATCGGTTGTGATCTTTCTCAACCTTAGTATTTTTTTTTTAAATCTGATATTTTGTCTCACTGAATCTTAGTAAGTAAGTTTTATTAAATAGCAACATTTTTTTGCTCACTCTACCTATTTGGTTTCAATTGACAGCTATGACGTCAAAATATGGTGCCCAGTCGGTCCTATTCTTAGTTGAATCGCATTATATTTTCCATTATGTCTCTCAGCTCGCGTCCGCTTTTAAGCAAGTTCTGCAATGGGTGATCAATAACTTATCATTTCCAACTCCTCCGTGTTTCAGAAGACACGTTAATGAACATTAATTGGGCTGATAATGATACATCAAAGAGAATTCCCAAACTAAGCATTATAGGATAATCATAATGCAATTTTAAAGAAATACTTACATACTAAGTAATGTTGTTTCAATAGGTAGTAAATTTAAAAATTTTCAGAGATGACCTAAAACTTACCAAAGTAAATTTTATCAAACTCGGCGACAATAGGCTAGTTGACTCATGTCGAATTGTATTTAAATAAATGTTTATTTCTTGAAGTATTTGGTCTCAGGAACCTAAATATATCGATTTCACTTCATAAAAGCAGAAGATTGCTGTAGTAATTTAAGAAAATATTTTTTAGTCTAATACTTTTTAAACACTAAAAACGCTGTTCGCCACATCCGCCATGATTGTGACGTCTCTTTGGTAGTAAACAACTAAATGTCATTCATACACAACCTTAAAACTTGTACTATAAAAACTGATAATAAATGAAGAGACTTAAAATATTATTCAATTAGTACTTACATCAACGTGATCTTCGTAAAAATAAATTTTACTATGAGTCGATATAGTTGCAGGATCACTTTTAGCAAGTTCTAACCAGGTATTGCGTAGGTTAATTTCTTTCGGCACTTTAATCCACAACTTTCCTGGAGTCTTCAAGGATGTGTATTTACATTCTCGTACATTACAATAATAATAATTACTATATTTTTCGTATTAAGTATTTATTAGAAATCATGTTTTTCTTATATTAAACTCAGATAGGTTATTTTCTACGTGCTTACGAATTTTTGTTTACTACCGGTTCACGTCATAGCATAGACTAAAATGGCCGACAGCGTCTTTATATGTCCAT